TCAAAATTATTCCCACCGGTCCGCCGGTTGTGATGAATGAGACGCCACTCCACAATTCGACATCAACCGATTCTCCATTGGACTCCCCAATGGAAACGGAGTCACCATTTGTGCCACGTCCGCCGAAACCTATTGGGAGAAAGGCGGCAAATGCCAAGAGAGGGGGCACTTCGACCAATGAATGTGTACAATTATTGGAGCAAATAGCTAAGAGCACCTCACTAAGAATGGAGAGAGACTTGAAAAGAGATGAAATGGACGTGGCACGAGAGGAAGCATTTGTTATTCAACAGCAAAAGGCACAAGAAAAAGACATAGAGGATAGAGAGATGAAAATCATGGCAATGGATACGACCCATATATCTCCCAAAACAAAGGCCTATTGGAAGCTACGACGAAGAGATGTGATGAGAAGAAAACTTTTCCATGACGACGGACCTAGCAATACGGATTAGTTAAATGATGAAAACCATTAGGTTGTATTGAAACACCTTTGTCATATGTTGTATTGTTGTATTATCCTTTAATTCGTTGTATTGTTTCCTTTTTATTCAATAAAAAAAGCATTAAATAAAATGACTATTTATTAAAAACATTTGAGCATCAAAACAAATATTAATTAAAAAAAACCAAACACTATTTAAACATAGAAACACACTCAAAATCAACAATTGTATATTTTTTGGGTGTATTTATAAATGAGTTTTGAGTGTGTGTAATGATGGGTTTTGGGTGTGTTTATAAAGTGTTTTGAGTGTTGGTTTTTTTTATAATTTTAGCCCCCATTTTGGGTGTTTTAGTGAAACTCCCTTAAATAAAATGACTATTTATTCAAAATATTTGAGCATCAAAATCAAATATTAATTAAAAAAACCTTCATTTATTGCAAACAACACACAAAACAAACCATACATAAAAGCATAATAATAATAAAAAGCATAATTCCAAAAAACACCACACACAAAATAAAGCATAATTAAAAACAAAGCATAATTCCAAACAAAGCACTAATCTTGACTTCATCCATTGTGATTGCCTTTCATCTCCCACAAGTGCTCGACCAAGTCACCTTGACGTATCTCGTGAACATATGAAGATTGCATTTCTTGATACCGATCAATCATGGGGTTGTTGAATTGACCATCCTGAAGTAACGGTTCGGGCTCCAGTGGTAGTCCATTTGGTCCAATTGGCCTTTCATATATTCTTGTCAACGATGTGTTCATTGGATCGGGTTCAAACACCTCTGGAGCGTCATAGTCATACTCATCCTCCACAATCATGTTGTGAAGGATGATGCAAGTCATCATAATGCTCCGCAGCACCTCCTCATCTAGCATCCGAGCAACACTTCTAATAATTGCCCAACCAGCTTGCAAGATACCGAAACACCTCTTCACGTCTTTCCTGTAACCTTCTTGAAAGGAAGCAAAGTTTCTTTCCTTCTCGGATTGGGAATTCGGAATTGTTTTCACGAATGTCGTCCACCTATGATAAATTCCGTCGGTAAGGTAGTACGCACCATAATAAACGGTATTGTTGATTTGGTACGTGACCTGGGGGGAATGACCTCACAATACCTCATCGAACATCGGGGATTGACCAAGGACATTGAGGTCATTCTGAGATCCGGCAACACCGAAGAAGGCATGCCAAACCCAACAGTCGAATGAAGCTACGACCTCCAAAATTATACTTTTTTGGCCCTTCCGATGCCCGTACTCTCTTTGCCAAGCAGTAGGACAGTTCTTCCACTGCCAGTGCATGCAATCGATGCTTCCAATCATTCCTGGGAAACCTCGAGTCTCGCCTTTTTTTAAAAGCCGTTGCAGGTCTCTTGGCGTGGGTTTGCGAAGGTACTCCATCGTGTACAAATTTTTCACTACATCACAGAATCTCACCAAGCACTCTAGGATAGTAGATTTTCCCATCCTTGCAATCTCATCCACCTGCTCTGCAGATGCCCCATAAGCAAGCATCCGCAAAGCAGCTGTAAGTTTTTGCTCCGGTATAAGACCCAAAGCTCCAACAACATCATGCTTTTGAATGAAGTATGTGTCGTAATTACAAATATCATGCATGATTTTTTGGAACAAATGTGGCTGCATTCTATATCTTTCTCAAAATTTAGAAGCAGGATATAACTAATTTGGGATAAAATAATCCTCCATGAGATTCTTACCCCGAGACTCCCTACGTCTGTCGACATTCGGGGCACGACGACAACGGTGTTGCCTTGATTGATCCATCATACACACCGCTGCTGCAAGCATTTGTTCCTCTTCTTCATCGGCGTCCCGATCTTCTTGAGCACGTCTACGCCGGATTTCTTCCCTTGGTTTCTGTTGCCTCTCCAACACCCTCAACAAGTTTGGCATTGAGAGTAGAATGTGTTTTCTAAAATCTGAGAAATGAAGGAATAGATAAGAGATGGTGTGAGAGGTATGAGTTGATGGTGTAGTTTTATAGAGGGATTTAGAAGATAGAGATGACACGTGGCACAATTTTAGAGGATAAAAATCTTATCTAAAATCTGAGATTATAATTTTTTTTTAAATATCTGAAAATCTTATCTGACATGGGACACGTGGCACAATTTTAGAGGGTGAAAATTTTATCTGAAATCTGAGATTATAATTTTTTTTCCAATATCTGAAAATCGTATATGACAGGGGACAAGTGGCACAATTTTAGAGGGTGAAAATCTTATCCGAAAATTTAATTACAAAATATTATCAAAATTAATGGTTTAAAGTATAAAAAAATAGGAAATAAAGTACAATGAATAGTAATTGTCTTAGACTTGCCCTAGACTTTGCCCTCATGGGTGGAACCACACATGCAAAGGCTGACATTATTCATGTGAATAGTGGCAGCCCTTGCTTGCCCTTGCCTTAGACATAGCCCTTGTGGGTGGAGATGCTCTAATTGAGGGAGAAGAATTAATTCTTTGAAATTTTATATCTTCTCTTCCATTATAGCAGAACATACATGTTCTGAACATGTATGTAAGAATTAGAGACTAATCAACGTACCCTGTTTATGGTAACGAAAATCTGATAAATGATACGTTCATAGGCAGCTTGATCTATACATTGAAAAATTCTGATCCTTTTATCACATAAATCAACGATTACAATGAAGAATCACTTGGACAAAGCTCCACTTTCTCTGATCATAGTGTACTGAACTGGGTGGCCAATAAAAATATATATAATACAGAACCTATATTTCTAATTGACACTACCTTTTATACTCTATTTTATAAGCAACTCAAAGGTTATCAGCTATCATTATTTCGGAAATATTGGTGATCCAAAAATCTTGAAATGTCGACAAAACATTGAGAATCAAATACATTGAAGATTTTATAATGAACATTATTTAGAAGATGTTCAATTAATCAATTGTCCACTATTTTGATAAAAAAAACAACTTCACGGTTCACAGTGAGTGTAGAATGACTGGAACTCCACGCTGTGGGCGAACTGTCATGAACTGAATGGGTGAGTGGACATAACCAGGGGAAAGGGTGAAGCTGTAGCGCTGTAGAATCATTGCCAGAGCAATCTTGGATTCGACGATTGCGAAGTTCATGCCCACACAAGTTCGAGGTCCCAATCCAAAGGGTATGAATGCGACCATGTTGTTGTTAGTAGCTTTAGCAACCCCTTCTGAGAATCTCTCTGGTTTGAAAACGTTCACGTCTTCTCCCCAATATTTGGGATCATGATGAAGCGATAGATTTGGGACGTGCACTTCAACATTAGCCGGAACAACCATCTTTCCCAGCCTTACTTCCTTGTCTGTTTCCCTAACAAGGGAAACAACTGGAGGATATAGCCTTAGAGATTCATTCAGGATCATACTCATCTGCACATGCATCCAAATGAAAACTTAGATGACAATAAATTAAATGAGGATTTCAAAACTTAACCACTGATTTAGATACATAAGCTAGCAATTAACTGACTGAGTTTCTTACCGTTTTTAGTTTGTTGAGGCCATCAGGGTTTGGATTTTCTTTTCCAAATAATTGTAGGACCTCCTTTCTTGCTTCCTCTTGCCAATCCGTATTGAGTGCAAGAAGAAAGATGGTCCACGCAAGCAAAGAATTAGTGGTTTCTTGTCCAGCAAAGTAAAACGTTTTGCATTCATCAACGATGTCATCCACCGAAATCCTCTGGTTTTCATTGGTATCATGATGAGCCTTCAAAAGTACTCCAAGAAAATCACGCCCAAACCCGTCTGCTTCTCCAGTCATTGCCATACTTTCTCTTGTCCTAACAATCCCTGCTATGGTGTCCCGTATTCCTTTCTCAAGCTTCTCTGACTTGATCTCATCACTGGTTTTGTAAAACCGACTGCAAATTTGAACAAAAGACTAAACATGAGAAGTGACAACTCCAACACTATTGTTGTGAACAGAAAATATTCCACAGCTAACATAACCTCATTGATTCTTTAGGATCATTTAAAGCATCCGCAATGATTGTTCAATTGTTCAATTTATTGAACTATGTTGACATCTATTGAATTAAACTGCAGTTTTATTTGCAATGGTATAGTTTAATAAGTTCAGTTTACTGGCATGTAGGTTCCATAATTAGACTATCAATTCAATAGAGGGTTCACCTTCTATTATTGCAAGTGAAATTTTACTGTTTTATTTCAATTTCATGCAATAAAATTGCATTGATCCTAACTATTGTAGATGCTATTAGTTCAAAGAAGGTACCTGATGATAGGAAGTCTGAGACTAAAATTATTTTTGAATATGAGGAAGGTCAACTGCCCTAGCATTTCAAAAATGTTCTTCCCATCTAAGTAGCTGGTGCCAAATGCTGTCCTGGAAATTACTTCTGAGGTGAACAACCTAAATTCTTCATACACCTCGATCTCCTTGCCTTCATGATTTACCCATCTTTCTAGCATTGTCTCTGAGCTAGTTATCATGTCAGGAATCATACTCTGGTAACACAACACCATCATACAGTCAGTTACCAAGTTTACATTCAATATAAACAATTGACAGAAGTACGGGGTACGTTAATAAAAACATCTGCAAAGAAAAACTTACTTTTAAGCTCTCTCCATGGAAGGCATGGTTGGCCAGCTTTCTTAACTTGACCCATTTTTCACCTTCTGCCATGGAAATGCTGTCTCCTAATAGCTTCTTCACATAGCCTTGGGACTTCTGTTTTCGGAAGAGTTTATCCTTGTTGTTCATGACCTCTTTGGACAACTCAGGTTCCGCAACCACCAACTGAGGTTGAGTACCATGCCATTGAAGAAAATTCCTCCCTGTTGCAACAAAATCACTAAATTTAATTATCTTTGAACAAATTGAGATTATAAAAAATAATTAAAAAAACCATAGTTAATGAAGAGTTTGTAAGACGTACCAAATATCTCGGACCATTTGTGAGTATGAGGCTGAACTGCAGAGAATATGTCATGTGATAAGCTTCTGGGCCTGCTCATAGCTTCCTTCTTCATGCTCATGATTTCTTTGGTATTTCCATGGATGAGTCTGTAAGAAGGGCCTTTGACTCCCTGGAGATCCATGAATTTCTGGAAGCGATTTGGGGTCCACCATTGCTTGCCAAAGAGCCTGATGAGAGCTACAAGGAACACAAGTAGCATGCTTGAAACAGTGATTACTGGCATTCCGATTCCGGACCAAGTCATTGTTCTAGCTTCTTTCTTTCTTCTTCTTTTGAGTAAATGAGATGAGCCAAAACCCAAGAGACAATTCTAGTGTGTACTGCATGTGGCTCTCTTCAGTTTATATAGTAAAAGCTTGGGCGTATAAATAAATAAATAAAATCAAACGTCTCTCTTGAAATTGGAAAGTACAAGGGCAGCCGAACATGACCAAGAAAGTTTTATAGGCCCATCGGCGGCTCTGATATTTTAGGGGTCTTCAGCCAAAATAACAGGAGAGCCTTCTAGAATAAAGTTTTGAACAAAAAATTATTTAAAAAAATCATTAAAAGGAAAAAAATATATATAAGAATAGGAAGACCAATATTAAATATATCAAAAGTAAAACTCAATATTAATTTTATTAAACTAATATTATTAATGGGCTACAAGCTACGCCAGTATCTTGAATGTAAATCAATATTAATTGTGAGGCCCCCCATCAAAGTGGGGCCCTGATCTGTCGCTCACCTCATATTAAATTATTCACATAAAATATTTGTCATGTCCATTGGTATATAAAATATTTATTATGAGTAAGGTCTAAAATATTGATAATTTCATAAATATCGACAGTCCAAAAATATGAAAATTTTAATGGAAATTTCATGAAACTATCGATATCGGTAAAAATTGAATAAAACTCACGGAAATTGTAAGAAAAACTTGAAATTTTTTATTGAAATTTTGGAGGATGTTTATTTAATTAATTACTTATTAGTTTATCACAAAAAAATTAAAAAGAAATGTTTTATATGATGAGTTTAACTGATTTAAGTTGATTATATAACGGGGGTGACAAACACTGAGTGTAAAAAATATTAGTAATTAATAAAAAATGATTAAACACACCATAATCATTTATTTATAATGATTTACTATAATATTTTACACTTTATACATTGCATAGTAAGACACATGAGTCACTTAGTATCACATAGAGTTCTTATGAGATTCAAACTTTTTACTGTCTTCGTCATCTCTATGTGTATAGAGTAAGTGTATTATGAAAAGTAGTCATCAAATCATAAATCCCCAAAATAGTTTTGCATGTAGTTGTTAAAATGACACTCATATGGATATGAGATTGGTTGACGTTGTCCATATAGCGATATTTTCAATCTTATCGCAATATTTTGCCCAAATGTTGTTGAAGCATATGAAAAATTATCGATAATTATACGATATGTGTATGAATATGTTCCAAAATATCCTAAACCTGAAAAAATAATAATATCCTCGATATTTTATCAATATTATCGCTATTTTAGACCTTAATTCACGAGCAGTGTCACTGCTTGATTGGCATATAATTAGTTGACCTCTTTAGTATGATTAAATTAGGAACTAATGTCGTCTTTCTATTTATTTTTTTTCCAAACTGATTAAGACATAAATTGCTGGCGGCCCCGATTGATAATAGCATAAAAATAATTAAAAATTCATCCATCGCTAACTCACACCCTTAAAGTGGGAAATATATTATCATTAATAATCATGGGTGAGCATATTTAAATTGTGGACTGGAAGGGAGAAACAGACACAGAAAGGTTGAATCAGTCTCACTACCGGCATTCCGAATCAATTCATGTTTTTATTTTTTTGCTGTATATGTATTTCCATTTAGACCCGGCAATTGTGCGGTCGTACACGGTAGACCAATCAATTTATT